TTAAAAAATTGTAAAAATATATTTCCCTATTTTGATACTTATACATTATTAACTAAAAAATCTACTAGTTATATTTTATGAAAAGAAATATATGAAGATTTGTTAAAAAAATATCATTTAGACCCAATTAAAAGGATAGAGATGATTGAAAAAACTAGATTGATAAATAAAATTAATTAAAATATTAGGGAAAAAAAGTAAAGGTTTAACGTGCAAGTTTTGAAGCTCTTAGGACAGATGTAAAAGGATATAAGATCCAAAAGAGCAAATATTCTATAATGAATATACCTTATACTTAGTTAATGTTTAGTTATTACTACTTGCAACTCTTAAGTGTAACGTATATATAATTTGGTATATATTGTTATACTTATCAATTAATATATAATTGATAAAAGGAAAAGTTAGTATAAACATTAGCGATACTAGTGTTAACGGTCAATGAATTTTCATGTTTAAAGACCGTCGGTTATTTAAGTGACCGCTACAGACTGGTTCACTGGTAGGTGGCTGAAATGCTGCTTAATGTACAGTCGGTTCCTTCCATATTTTATATATGCACAAGCCCAGAATTATATAATTACTGGTACCTGGATTTAATAAATGAACATCAATATATTGATGATAAGTTAAATTTGAAGGAATGGATTCTTCGGACATCCTGAAGTTTATATCTTAATTATACCAGGATTTGGTATTATTAGTACAGTTATTGCAGCGGGATCTGGTAAAAATGTATTTGGTTACTTAGGTATGGTTTACGCTATGATGTCTATTGGTGTTTTAGTTTCTTAGTTTGAAGTCATCACATGTATACAGTTGGTTTAGACGTGGATACAAGAGCTTACTTCACAGCTGCTACTTTAATTATTGCAGTACCTACTGGAATTAAAATATTCAGTTGATTAGCTACATGTTATGGTGGTTCATTACACTTAACACCTCCTATGTTATTTGCATTAGGATTTGTTGTATTATTCACAATTGGTGGATTGAGTGGTGTTGTTTTAGCTAATGCATCACTTGATGTTGCTTTCCATGATACTTACTATGTTGTTGCTCATTTCCATTATGTTTTATCTATGGGTGCTGTGTTTGCATTATTTAGTGGTTGATACTTCTGAATACCTAAATTATTAGGTTTATCTTATGATCACTTCGCAGCTAAAGTACACTTCTGAATCTTATTTGTAGGTGTTAATTTAACATTCTTCCCACAACACTTCTTAGGTTTACAAGGTATGCCTAGAAGAATTAGTGATTATCCTGATGCTTTCTACGGTTGAAACTTATTAAGTAGTATAGGTTCTATTGTTAGTGTTGTAGCTACATGATATTTCTTAACAATTATTTACAAACAATTAACAGAAGGTAAAGCAGTTTCAAGATACCCTTGATTAACTCCACAATTATTTAGTGATACATTCCAAGTATTATTCACTAGAAATAATAGTTCATTAGAATGATGTTTAACTAGTCCACCTAAACCTCATGCTTTTGCAAGCTTACCTTTACAATCAGGAATTAACCCGAGTGGAATAATTTAAACAATTAAAGCGAAGCTATAAAATTATTACTTTGCGATTGTAATAAATATTTAACTAATATAAACGTAAAATATGCATTAGTAACTGAACCTTCAATAGATCAGTGTGCTGAAGTTATAAATATAATCAATCAATTGATTAGTTGTAAGGTATATATTATATTATTAAACGTGATATTTTACAATATAATAATTTAATAAATTAATTAATTAATTAATTTATAGCTATTTATTGTAAAACATATTAAAATATAATAAGATACAATAAGATTTAAATCTTACACACATTTGATTATATATATTATATTTAAGTTTTAGTGTTTATAAATAATTCTTTATTAGTTAAGGTTACCTTACTTAAATGGTTGTACACAAATATTTAATCTAAAATGCTACAAGCTGCTAAAATTATTGGAACAGGATTGGCTACAACAGGTTTAATTGGTGCTGGTGTAGGTATCGGTGTTGTATTCGGTGCATTAATACTAGGTGTTGCTAGAAATCCTTCATTAAGAGGACAATTATTCTCATATGCTATCTTAGGTTTCGCTTTTGCTGAAGCTACTGGATTATTCGCATTAATGATGGCTTTCTTATTATTATATGTTGCTTAATATATAATTTTTATTTAATCAAAACCTTTTTAGTATAAAAAAAATGATTGATATAACACTACTAAAAAAAATTGATAGATAAAATATTTCTTTTAAAAGTCTCCTATCACCTTTGTCCTTTCTCTTTAAGGGTAAGGACTAGTTTTACATAATCCAAATTTAGAGGTAAAACCTTATTGTTATCAATAAAAATCGTCATTACTAACATTTAACATATAGAGTATTATAATTCCTTTTCCTTAGTTTTATATCAATATAAAACAT